GTCTCCTCCTCCAGACACTAGGGGACCCTGTAGTGTCCTCCAGACACCAGGAGGCCCTGTAGTCTCCTCCAGACACTAGGGGGCCCTGTAGTCTCCTCCTCCACACACTAGGGGACCCTGTAGTGTCCTCCTCCAGACACTAGACCAGGATTGAGTCTCCATAGAGAGGTTTCTGGTCTCATGTGGTCTAGATGTGACCAGGATTGAGTCTCTCTAAAGAGGTTTCTGGTCTCATGTGGTCTAGATGTGACCAGGATTGAGTCTCTATAAAGAGGTTTCTGGTCTCATGTGGTCTAGATGGGGAAAGAACTGCGAAATCACGCTTTGTTTGTCCATTTTAAACAAAATAAAGGTTTCATTCATCTCAAACTGGGTTTAAAACAATCTGTACGGTCTGTGTTGGTCCAGTCCAGGTTTATTAAGTCTAAATATGGTGGTATGTGATCAAGACCTGGTCCTATGTGGTCTACATTTTTTTAAAGCAGTAAAAATCCCCTTTTCTCTTTTTTGAGTTATATTTTAAAAACAAGATAATTAAACATTTAAACATTTCTGCAAGACTGGTTTCTTTCATTAAAATACACTTTTCTTCATCAACATTTAAATGTTTCTCTCTTTTATTTCCCTCCTGAACAGTTTACAGGTAAATACTGTAGAAGAGTTTTATTGCTCTACATAGAACACATGAAACAGCTCTGATGTGGGTGAAGACTGATTTATTTTTCACGCACAAAGTGAAGAACTTTTAGTAGAAGGTGTTTGGTCTCTTGGTGGTGAAGCGAGGTTTGTGCTGGCGACGAAGGACCCTGTGAGGAAGAGGGAACTTGATCTTGGAGTCCTGCAGGAGGAATCAGAGAAGAAGAAACGTTCAGCATCAGAGAAGAAGAAGCGGTGGTTTAAAGGGAACAGGAGAAGAAGAAGACTCACGTGGAACTGCTTGATGGCAGGTCTGCGACACTTGTTGGCGGCGATGATCTGGACCTTCATGATCTGGATGGAGTGAGCGCGAGCACGATGGCGAGCTCCCATATCACGGTCTAATGGACACGAGAGAGACGAGTCAGCACATTAAACTCTCAACACCAGGACTAAATGATGAGAACCTCAAAGCAGGAGAGACAGAGCGAGCGAGAGAGAGACAGAGTGTGTGTATATACACGTGTGTGTGTGTGTGTGTGCACTCACAGCACTGAGTGACAGCTCCAGAGGTGGTCAGGTCTCGGTACTCTCGGTACATGTTGTGGGTTCCACTACGAGAGTCGTAACGCAGCCAGATCCCAAAGTTCTTCACCTTCAGAGGGGTTTTCTCGTGAACCTGAACGCATCACAACAACACGTCAGTCGCGTCACATTAACACACAGACCTGTAACATCTAATAACGCAGGTACAACATGCACGTCTTTTGTTACGACTCCTCTCAGAGCACGTCTGAGTGAGTGAACAGGTCGTTGTTTAAGCCGAGTTATACGTCTCTGTATAAAATGAGGCGTTCAAAGACCATCTGTTGACCCTTGATTTCACTTTCAAAGGCACTGCAGCGTCAGAAAGGCGACAAGGATCAGTTTTCTGTTCGCACGCCAGACAAAACCACACCAGGGACACGGTGGGGCCTTTGGGTTTGGGTGCACGAGATGTTTTCATGAGTAAAGAATCTATAAACTCCTTTAAAGAGTGATTTGTTTAGTTTTAACAGCACGTTTAGCTTTATGTGACGTTTGGTGACTCTAAAGGTGTATAACTGTTTAAATATGTTTGTTTAGACTACAGAGACAAACTGAACACTGGTAGAATGTATTTAAAGCTAAACGTTGAAACATTTTTGTTGATAGCAGATCTTTGCCAACGTGGTGTTGTGTTCAGGGACCTACCAGGCCGCAGTAGACTGTCTCTCCAGAGGCCTTCTTCATCTTCCTCAGCTGGGAGACGAAGTACCAGAAGCGGGACTTGGCCACCACATGGTTTGGGGCGAAGATCCTCATGCGGTACAGAGGGGGGGCCGGGTTCTTGGCAGAGGGCAGCAAACGCCCAACGACTTTGTACTCCCTAAGCTGTGACATCAGAGGAGAGTTAGGATACGAGGGAACCGCGGGAAAAAACGACGTACATTCTGAGGTGTTCAAAGACCATCTGTTGACCCTTGATTTCACTTTCAAAGGCACCGCAGCGTCAGAAAGGCGACAAGGATCAGTTTTCTGTTCGCACGCCAGACAAAACCACACCAGGGACACGGTGTGGCCTTTGGGTTTGGGTGCATGAGAGGATGAACTGGAGAAATTAAACCTAGTTTAGATTCAGTCCAGACTTTAAGCGTTACAAATATGTTTTCATGAGCATTAAATGTGTTTTTATATTGGATTCAGACTCTTAACTATAATTTAACGAGATGTTTCGTTAAGTATGCAACTTTTCTATTGATTCGTTCTTAACGAACTTAGACAATATAATTTGATCTAACTTCTGGCACAGCGCAACGTCCTTTTCATTACGTTTTCATTTTTGCACACCGCTTATGATTAAAAGGGACGTTTGTTTATATACTGTTCTTCCTTCCTCTAGGGAATAAATAATGTCTTCCTCTATATCTCTTAACTTATTCATGTTACGGTGTAAACGTGTTCTCACTCCATGTACTTTACATTTCTGCCCTTAGTGACTTTAGTTCAAATTAGAACAGGTGTTGATATTTGTTACGTTTTATAGCTTAAAGTTGATGTATCTTCATGCATAAATCACTGTCTGTGCGCTGTGGCCATGTTGGTTAGAGAAGAGCACGATTGTTTATAGGGAAGTTATCCAAAACAACAACTTTATCATTACGCGAAATATATATATATTTTAAATCGGTTTAATTATAAGTGTTGTAAAAACTCACATCACATGTTTAAAGCCACTTAAAATATTGTTAACTATGAATCATTTGAGGTAAAGTTAGCTTGTTAGCATATATTCTGTCCAAAACTAGTATGTCAGCTGTCAAGCTAGCCTAGCAGTAGACAGTGGGGGAGATTTTAACTTTATATCTTCTTGAATACACTAAATATATTTAGAGACACCTCACAGGACACTGGCAGACTCTTTAGCACCACGTTAGCAGCTAGCGTTAGCTCCAGAAGAAGCTAACGCTAGCTGCTGACGCTCAGGATAAATATCTATTTAACGCAAATACCTACTGAAGTTGAGCACTTTATAAAATCAGGTTTTAACTCTTCTATGGTTATGGAACACGTGTAAACGGCTCTTAATGCCGTCACATTTGAAGCCACGTGGTACGGGAGGCCGCCATGTTGTAGTGGCAGAAATACACCGGGGACAATATAAACAGTCAAAATATCACCTTTAAATGTGAGAATTTTTCAAAAGTTAAAACATATATTAGACAAACATAACGTTGTAAAGCGATATCTTTTCATTCGGTCCGTGTGTTGGTGGCAGATATCGGTAAATAACGAGTTTTACATACTGTGCCGGACGCCTTCATGGTGTCTCTCGCTCACTGCCAACAGTCAAAGAGGAAGCTGGAGGGCGGAGGCTCGCGACGTCTAATGGACGGAGCGGCGGGAGGAGGAGGGACATCCGGGGACTTCAGGGAACTTCAGGGGCGGCTTCTACCGTAACTGAAGATGGCTTCATATACGAATATACTGGAAAATGTGTTTTTAATGTATTATATGAACATTTTTATTTTATTTAACAAAGTTTGTATGAATGTGCTTAAGTAAAAAATGCTAATATATATATATATTCATCTTTAATTGGAATTAGTTCTGTTTATGTGTATCATTGTGTTCTTAACTTAAATTCATGATTAAAAATATTGTAAGACTTTTTTAGTAGAAAATACAACAGCATCATATATAATAATATATATATATAATAACATATTCATACAGTATTATGATACAGTATCATATTGTATGGGGGGCACGAAACAGTATTAGGTGTACTACTCTAGTAATACAGTATCACACGTAGTACTTAAAATAATGCTTCAGATATGGATTTGGAGCATTTAAATAACTCGCACACCGAAAAAGTCTAATTTATTGAAATATAAAAAAATGACTTTGCTATAGAGTTAATGTGTTTTTAAATGAATAGTAGCAGTTTAACAACTTTAAAGTGGAGTAAACAACAGTAATAGTATCACAGAATACATGCTTCCCCAACAACAAGCCGTGGATCACCAGTGACCTGAAAGCTCTTCTTAACAAGGAGAAAGCAGCTTTCAGGTCTGGGGACAGGGACGAGCTCAGGAGAGTCCAGCGCGACCTGAAGATGAAGATCAGAGAGTGCAAGGACTCCTACAGGAGGACGCTGGAGGCCAAACTCCAGCAGAACAACGTGAAGGAGGTGTGGACGGGGATGAAGCAGATTACCGGCTTCAAGGTGGGAGGCAGACAACCAGGGGGCTCCCTGGAGAGGCCCAACGAGCTAAACTCTTTCTTCAACAGGTTTAGCTCAGAGCCCTCACCTGTCTCCTCCACACACCGCACCTCCCAAACACCTGCCCCTCTGTCCCCCCTGGTGAGCTGCATGGACTCTGAGCCCTCCTCTTCAAAGGGCTCTGCCACCACCGACCCCCCTCCCCCCCTCTCTGTGACGACTGGCCAGGTTAGGAGACAGCTGGAGAGACTCCACCAAGGCAAGGCTGCTGGACCTGATGGCATCAGCCCCAGGTTCCTGAAGACCTGCGCCATCCAGCTGTCTAATGTCCTTCATCATCTCTTCAACCTGAGCCTGAAGCAGGAGGAAGTCCAGGTGCTGTGGAAGACGTCGTGCCTGGTTCCCGTACCAAAGAAGACGACACCATCTGGCCTCAATGACCACCGACCAGTTGCCCTCACATCTCATGTGATGAAGGTGCTGGAGAGGCTGGTCTTGGCCCACCTTCGACCGCAGGTGAAATCCTCACTGGACCCTCTGCAATATGCATACCAGCCTCATGTGGGGGTGGACGACGCCGTCATACCTGCTGCAACGAGCTCAGTCGCACCTGGATGATCCGGTGGCTCTGTGAGAATCACTTTCTTTGACTTCTCCAGTGCATTCAACACATCCAACCAGTGCTGCTGAGGGAGAAGCTGCGGGTGGTGGGGGTTAACGCCTCCACACGTGCATTTTCCACACTTAATATTTTTATTGTATTGTGTAACCCTGTTTGCTGCTGCCACAGACACATTTCCCCTTGGGGATGAATAAAGTACTATTCTATTCTATTCTCTAGTCTGAGAAGTATTGTTCTAATATTACAATGTAGGGACGAATCAGAAACCAACTTCAGCCTCTTCAACGTTAGCAGCTACATTAGCAGCTACGTTAGCTAATAAACAGCAGGACACGCCACATTAACTATACATGTGTTTGCTACATAAACACGTTCATATTTAATAATAATAATTAGAATATATGTATAATATATATTTCATATTTTAATAACATCCTGATCCACACTCCAGACCAGTTGGTGGCGGTAATGCACCAATTAATTGTTTACCAACTGCTAATAAACCTAAAAAAAATAAGTAGAAGAAGAAGAAGAACCCGGATGTTAACGGTGCGGACACGCCGCACCGCTGCTGCTGTCGCGTGAAGTCCGACCGACGTGCAACTGATTTCTGGATGATTCTCTGCGGCACCACGATGAGCTGATTGAGAGGACAACATAAAGCAAACACTGATGAAATAGGTTTTTAATTAAGGTCAGTTATATATAACTCTAACAGTTATCGAACAGCTCCCTGTCGATGACTGAAGGTTTGTTATTGTTTGTTATAAAGTGTCAGGATTGTTCCAGCAGGCATGCTAGCCAGCTAACGCTATAGCTCGAGTTAAGCAGCTATTCTGTATAGTTGTTAGCATGTTAGCACTGCGATGTACAACTTTTTTTGTGGTCCGACTGCCACACACACACACACACACACACACACACACACATAATATACACACATATGGTCACGTGTGTCTCTATTTAACCTCTTTTAAAGTTCATTATATAAATGTGTTTTATTATTGACGTTAACATTATAAAGGAAACTAAAGGTGTTGAAGATGTGTTGCATCATCATCAACAACACATTATTCTGTCTGTATACTTATTTAATATTCTTTACTGTTTTATTATTATTAGTTATTAATAATACTTGTTTTTTTTCCATGTCTCTTGTTTGCACTGTCCACTATGTATGTGTGTACAGTGGGGAAAAAAAGTATTTAGTCAGCCACCAATTGTGCAAGTTCTCCCACTTAAAAAGATGAGAGATGCCTGTAATTTCCATCATAGGTACACCTCAACTATGAGAGACAGAATGGGGGGAAAGAATCCAGGAAATCACATTGTAGGATTTTTAATGAATTAATTGGTAAATTCCTCGGTAAAATAAGTATTTGGTCACCTACAAACAAGCAAGATTTCTGTCTCTCACAGACCTGTAACTTCTTCTTTAAGAGGCTCCTCTGTCCTCCACTCGTTACCTGTATTAATGGCGCCTGTTTGAACACGTTATCAGTATAAAAGACACCTGTCCACAACCTCAAACAGTCACACTCCAAACTCCACTATGGCCAAGACCAAAGAGCTGTCAAAGGACACCAGAAACAAAATTGTAGACCTGCACCAGGCTGGGAAGACTGAATCTGCAATAGGTAAGTAGCTTGGTGTGAAGAAATCAACTGTGGGAGCAATTATTAGAAAATGGAAGACATACAAGACCACTGATAGTCTCCCTCCATCTGGGGCTCCACGCAAGATCTCACCCCGTGGGGTCAAAATGATCACAAGAACGGTGAACAAAAATCCCAGAACCACACGGGGGGACCTAGTGAATGACCTGCAGAGAGCTGGGACCAAAGTAACAAAGGCTACCATCAGTAGCACACTACGCCGCCAGGGACTCAAATCCTGCAGTGCCAGACGTGTCCCCCTGCTTAAGCATATATATATGTATATATATGTATGTATGTATGTATGTGTATATGTATGCGTATATGTATGTATGTATGTGTATATGTATGTATGTGTGTATGTATATATATATGTATATATATGTGTGTATGTATATATATGTGTATGTATGTGTATAT